GAGGGTGCCGAGGTTAAGTATAAAACTATGAAGTGGTGGTAAGTTCACACAACGAAGGAACCTCCCAGAGAGTATGGGGCTAATCCGGCGATAGGCAAACGGGAATGTGTAAGTGCTAGCACACGCGCAGGCTCGCGGCTATTGATCAGTTGATCAGTTGTCATGGACCCATTCTGACCACAATCTAGTCATGATCGCCGAATCCGTCTCTCTGGGTGTCTTGTCCCTACCCAAGACCCTCGCCCAGCTAGGCCTCGCCCCAGCTCTCGTCCTCATCATCGGACTGGGCATTCTCGCGACCTATACCGGATACACGATCCACCAATTCCGCGCTCGATACCCCCATATCCAGAACTTGGCCGACGCTGGCGAGGTCCTGTTCGGTGCTTTCGGACGCGAGCTGTTCGGCCTCGGACAGCTGCTCTTTTCGATTTTCATCATGGGTTCTCACATCCTGACTTTCAGTGTTATGATGAATACCGTCACCAACCACGGAACTTGTACAATGGTTTTCACAGCTGTCGGATTCGCCATCTGTTTTGTCTGTTCTCTGCCCCGTACCATGAAGAACATGACCTACATCTCGTGCATGTGTATGTACCTCCGAACTCCGCCGGGAACCGGAAGAATCATCGCTGATTATCATCTACAGCTTTCGCTAGTATCGTGACGGCTGTCATCGTCACCATGGTTGCAGTCGGTGTGCAGAACCAGGGTGGTCAGAACCTCAAGGCGACGATCGACACCGATCTGGTCCAGGCCTTTAGCGCTGTCACCAACATCGTCTTTGCTTACTGCGCCCACGTGGCTTTCTTCGGGTTGATTGCTGAGATGGAGCAACCTCAGGATTTCCCCAAGGCTCTGGTCATGCTGCAGACCTTTGAAATTATCTTCTACACCGTCGCCGCAGTCGTGATCTACTACTATGTTGGCCAGGAAGTTACATCCCCCGCCCTTGGGTCCGCGGGTCCTGTTCTGAAGAAGGTTGCTTACGGAATTGCCATCCCAACTGTACGTGGTCTTGTCAATCTTTCCCCCCTTCGATCCCATCTTCGGCTGCTGACGCTCGCACAGATTATCGGAGCTGGTGTCGTCAACGGCCACATCGGTCTGAAGTATATCTACGTCCGCCTGTTCCGCGGCACGGACCGCATGCAGAAGCGTGACTTGATTGCCGTTGGCTCCTGGGTCGGCATTGGCCTTGCTTGCTGGGTTATTGCTTGGATCATTGCCGATGCCATTCCCGTCTTCAGTGATTTGCTGAGTCTGATCAGTTCGCTGTTCGCTAGTTGGTTCAGTTACGGTCTTGGTGGTGTGTACTGGTTGCACATCAACAAGGGCAAGTGGTTCTCTTCGCCCCGCAAGATTGCACTGACTATTTTGAACGTGTGCATTATCCTGATTGGTGGTTGCATGTGTGGTCTTGGTCTTTACGTTTCCGGCAAAGCCATTCATGACGACTCCTCCAACAACAGCTTCTCGTGCGCTAGTAATGCCGTGGTTTAAGCTTGTTGTTTGTGTATTTAATGCTTTGATGTTATACCATGTTGCTGGCCGATATTGTTTGATTTGGTTCTACCGGCTCCTGCACTCCTATATTCCGTATTGGGCTATTTTCATCAGCGCATCGTTGTTTTTAGTGCACGAAGCTTTGAAGACAATCTCTTTTAGAGCTTTGGGTGAAAAGGCAGATGCCCCTCCGCCCGATGCGGTGGAGCCACAGGGGCTTCTGCGGCATCGACGGCGGCTAGCCTAGGCGAACGCGCGGCTCTCTTCCAGAAGCGCCCTATCCCTGGGGGAAATGCAAGCGAGGAGATTGCACTACGCTCTCGCGGAGTGAATGGGCCTCTTATCGACGAAACTCTCGTAGTGAACCCCGGACGGCGACTTGGTTGGCATCCAACTGCTCCGTGGCGAAGAGAACACGACAATATTTCTGAACTGTACGGTCTCAACACGGTCACTGCAAACCCGACCATGGTCCTGATTGATGCCCGCCCGCTGACATCGATCATGTCCTTATGTTGGCTCTATCATACGTGGAGTTACGCTCTCCACTCCCCGGACTATGCTTTCAGTCACCAATGGTCGGTAAAATGATGTGATAGGCTTCGTGCGTCTTGTATATTAGACCAATCCTTTTGACATCGGTGGGGACACACAAAGAATAAGGGCGCGAGAATTTTACGCTGATCCAGAGCAATCGGACCTGCAAACTAAACGTCCAAGTGAGCAAGTCCCATTGCAATTATCGAATACTAAACCGCCAACAACGTCTTGGACGATGATAAATCGGATAAATTGCTGGAAGCTTGCAGATCAAAAGCCCTTCCCCACTTTCTCTTGTTGTGGAGACGGCCATCAAACCACCTTGGACCATGACGGTTGTCTCGGAATTTCCAAAAATGGCCTTTTCTGAGACGCCGAATTGATCCCAATGGACGAGGCCACGTAGTTGACCTTTGGTTGATTAGCACCGTGATTGGGGTATTCCACACGATCCTTCGGGACAATGCGGGGTGCTCCCAGATGAAGGGGCTTTTTGTTGACACAACCATGTGATCCGTCTCAACGCGAAGGCCCCAGAGGACTCCGAACGATTCTCATCACCTCGTTGATTTGCTCCGGCATATATTTCATTAGGCGAAATAGGTGTACCTAGTAAAAAGACGTAAGAAGACTTCGAAGATGGTGAACAGAGGGGATAAAAGAGATCTAGAAATGGTGGAAATTCAAACCTGGTTGACTCGATTCATGCGATCTTAATACAGTCTTCGTCGTATATCCATCCTCACGGGCTACGTGGGAAAGGCTCTGCCTGTTGACAATCATTTTGGTTACAGTACAGCTGAAGAGTAGATGGGGAAGGTCCTTAGTGTGTCTTAGCATGTAGATGAGCCATGATCTGTGTCCGTTGTGTCCGTTTTATACTACTTGACCATTTGACACGCCATGCGTGGAATCTGCTTCATTTCTATTCGCTAATTCCACAATTGCAATTCGACTGTAGATCAGACCAACCAGAAAGTGCTCGGATGATTCCCCTGGGAGCTTCCCAATGCCCGGGTTGAATAGGACATCTCAAGTATAAGTTGTCTGTTTCTGTCGACCGAACTATTCATTGACTCCGTCCATCCTCCCACCTTCCTTCGAAAATTCGAACAGGTCCTAAATTAATCGAAATTTCTTCTACGCAAATGCCGTGGTAGGAGACAAACCCTCTCCTAGAATGTATTGCTAATAGCGCCGAGACCAGTAGATGCCTTGGTCGCATTGAAGATGTTTGAAAAGTTGGGCGAGGCGATCACCTCGGTCGTAACACTTATACCAGCAGTCCTATAATTGACTCATGCGTAGTGAGTTGGTGCAAAAATACCAGAATCATAACCGAACCAAAGGCTACCCGTTACAGCAAATGTTGCCAGGCATATTGCGGAGAATTTACCCACGGTGATCAATGAATTAGATCGACGTTGAAGAGGCTATGGAATCAATGGTCTTTAAAATTGTGATGTTTTATACATCCTGGTAAGTGTCGCTATTAAATTAGCAGAGCCGGACGGCTAAAAAGGGTACATTAAAAGACATCACACTTGAACTTAGATCGTTCGTTCCTAGTGGGATTGAGGGTCCGAGCACTTAGAGCATAGAGAAGGTAAGGGCCAAAGACTTATTGGATACGCTGGTAGTTTGGCAGTCATATAGACCTCACTAGATAGCTTTTTCGGTGCCCAGAGGGGTTCCCCAAGGCCCGCCAGCAACTCATGATCGAGGATTTATGTGTGGATGCTCAAACCAATCTTTTTTGATTGATTTGTATCAGGTATGGTGACATCTATACAGACCAGCATTGGGATCTCTCCAATAAGCCCCTGCAAGTCTAGGACAAGTGAGATAGTGAGGGACGATAGGGTGTACGTGCACATGTTCGATCTATTGAAGCCGAGAACGAGAAGTGCTACCGTACTTTGAATACCTTGATTCCTCAAGGCCAAAGCAAGCCGGATAAAGAGCAAAATAAAGGACAGGGATGACAACACCCGACTCGACCGCTTTAAGCCTGTCAGTTAGCTAAAAGCCAGTGTTGTAATCTCGGAATGATGAGAGGCGGCCTCTCTCAGACGGCCACCAGCTGGTATCTTATTTCTAAGTTCCAGGGCAGATCAACCGGAGAAAGAAATCATTGGAACAATGTCTTTGACCTGTATTGCTAGCATGTTGACAGTGGTGTCCATGTGCTCATTTTTGGTAGTGAAACCAACTAGTCCGATCACTGCTGCGACGCCAGGTGCCTTTCTGCAGCCAAGGACCAAATGTGGTTATGTGGGCATACGCAATAACATTGCCGACCAATCATCCATCAGATCAGGAAGGAGAGAAACAAGCTCTGACAAGGCATTCCGAGAGGCGCTCTCACTTGTGTGATACTTGCCAGCTACTTAGAAGGAAAGGCTCCCTTTCACAACATTTTGTGGAACGGGTTGTTTCTTCACAACAAGCTCCATCACCACTCCATATGGACCCCCGCCCCAACCACCAACGGCTCAAAGGAGATCTTTATGATACACACTCCGCGTTATGAGAAATTGGTCATCGGGGGTGACCGCCGTGAGTGGATATACTTGATCAGGCAAAGCCTCGCCACCTCGAGACTAGTGTCTCTTGTCCAGTAACAGGTCTTCTCAACTTGGGCGACAACGCAATTTGAATCATTGATATTACAAGCTGGTACCAAATTCGGTAAGTTCTGGGTGCTCGTTCCGGATGGACCGTCTCCATCTATTGAAGTCAGCCATCTTAAACTGGGCGTTGAACTCAGAACCCTTCGTTCGGATTGACAGATAGCACTGAGAAAAGCCGTTTTCCGTCAACGCATGCTCATGATCTAATCAAATTAGATAATATATACATCATTAAAAAAACTAAGCCAGGAATGGTGTATCGTTATCTTACATCACGACGTGAAATTTAATCTACTCCAGCCTTAAGCTCGAGCAAGCTTAAGCGCGACACATCCGCCCCGACTCAGACACAGACCAGACATCACTGCCAACAGCCTTGAGGGCATAGAAAAGCGAGGATGGATCCCACTTGCGCTTGACAGCGAGCAGACGGGGATAGTTGCTTCCGAAGAAGGTCTGCTTCCAGTTCGGCTGGCGGAAATCAGCTTCATTCTGGTAACAACCGCTGTCGGGCGTGACAGCTTCGAGCTGAGGCACGTATTCGGTCGTCATCTTGTGTTGCTCCGCAAGCATCTTGGACCAAGGTGCAGTCTCATTCCAGGGGGTGCCGATTTGCATCGTCACTGCTGCGTTGCGCAGGGCTGGGAATACAGCGTTCGAGACATTGCCCGGGGCTGAGACGTTCATTCCGACTCCAACAGCGACTACACCCGCCTGAGTGAGGTTGCGCAATGCCGAAGCCATGCCGCTGGGGTTCTGCTCCAGGATCTGGCGGGGGATCAGACGACCGCCGTACTGGTAGGAGCTCACGGCGAGGTTGCCCCAGGGAAGAGGGCCCATGTACTTGTTGTAGTGATCATAGTACGTGGCGTGCTGGCTGAAGCTAGCTTGGTACTGAATGTGAAGTTTGGTAAGTTCCGAGGTGAAGGGTGCGAGGATCGCTTGAACATCATCAGCGGTCTGATTGTAGGCTGTGATGGGGTTGATGAGGAAGATGCTCGAGGTCATCTGGTAGATGACAGTGACACCCCGGTCGACCATGGCGGGCAAAAGCGAGTGGAACTTCGAAACGGCCTCGTAGAAGGTATCGGTGGTGATGTTGGCCGCAGTGAACTCTAGAGAAGCACCGGCAATGGGCGCGTCTTTGTGTGCCTGGACCACCACTGACATCACAACACCGTAGTTGCCGGCACCACCACCGCTCAGTGCCCAGAAGAGATCGGCATTCTCGGAGCGCGAGGCTGTGACCAAATTTCCAGCAGCGGTAACAACCTCGAACTCCAAGGTGTTATCGGCCCCAAGACCGAAGTTGGTGCTGAGAGCGGAGTGGCCGCCGCCTTGGGTGTACCCACCTGCGAGACCGACCGTAGGGCACTCCCCCGTGACAACGACGAGGCCCTTGGCAGATGCGGCCTCGAGGATCTGGTAACCAACCACCCCGGCACCGATCTTGAATGCAGGACCCTGGTAGGTCGGGCCAGACCAGTCCGTGTACTCGATATCACTCAAGTGGTGAGTCCACACGGAGAGGGCACCAGCACCGGTTGAACGGCCGAGATAACTATGACAGATTAGCTTTGATCTGTAGAAAGACTGTTGCGGCGACTGACTCATGGCCGGTATTCCGGATAACGAAGCGGATATTGTGCTCACGGGCAAAGTTCACCGCCGCAATAACCTGATCGCTGGAAGAGACATTCACGGCGTAGTTCACGTAATTACCGAGGCGGCATGGCTGGGACTTGGCGGTAAATGGGTCACAAGTTTGGTTGGCAAAGTACGTCTGCATGACCGACGAAGAGGAGTCCAAACTGGCGGGCGATTAGCGATGTCGATTAGGTCATTTGCAACCCAAGTACCACTTACTGGGGCTCGGGGGTGGTCCAGCTCTTCTTGAGCACCGCGCAGGCGACAGCATCGTAGTTGGGTTCATGACAGGGGCTCCCAATTGGTATGGTCGCAACAAGACGACCACCAACTGTGCCGTTCAGGGAGGCCCAAACCGACGGCGCAGGCCAACAGCTATCACTGGGCAAACAGTGACAGTCCAATGCAAGGGCCGGCGCAGCAAGAGTCACGAGGGAAGCCAATGTCCACTTCATGGTGGAGGATCTGGATGGGATAAGGTTGTCGAAGAATGGAGGCGCAGGTGCCGATCCCTGTCCTTTATTTACATCGATTTCACCTTTCTCGAGAGCACATGGATCCCCAACTTCGGAGATGTTCCCTAGTCCGTCTAGTTCGATTCATTGTGAATAACGTTTTTTACCGTGGTGGAGCCGAGACGTTCCCTACTCCATTCCCACCAACGTTATACGGAGTCCTCCGTCGTGATGCCTGGATTGAGGAATGGTCGAAGGCAGGTACCTGACTAGTCAGCCGCGCGCGATCGACTGCAGATGTGATCTACACTCAGAGCTTCACTTGCCCTGTGATTGTGATTGTTCCAGGCATCTCACAATGTTCCATCTCAATCTTATCTCGGCTCGCGGCGGAAGCCCCCGGACCAGCTGAGAAAAGCCGAGAGATCCAATTTCCCCAGTGTAACCTGAATGAAATTCATCCAATCGGCGGGTTAGGTTCAGCGCCACTACGCCCCGCAAACCGTATTCCACTTCAAGTGCTTACATCCATATACATCAGCAACACGCCTTTTAATGTTGGATGCTTTGGTGGCTTGGAACTGGCATCCAAACGTGTTCAGGGATCAGGGGCCATAGGAAACCATTGCTCGGGACCAGATTCAAGTGTATTGTGTTTTTTGATAGGACGGAGGAGACAGGACACGAACAGCTCCATAGTCTCGACCAACCAAGGGGGTAGGATATTCCCCCCCCCCGGTGACTTGGGACAGAACCATTTTCACCACGAAACCTTGGAAGGTGCTTGAGTTGCAAAGTAGAAATGATCGTTGGAATCAAAACGGATGGAGAACGGAGGTAAGTTTGCTCCATCCAACTGCATTGACCAATCTATGGCTAAAACCATTGATCATCGTCGAGGGTTAGACTTTCGGGGCAGAGCACGACATAGGCAGCACCCGCGATGAATCCAATTCACCAAGGTTCCAGAAATGAAGGTTGTCCGGGGTTGATGCCCGAGGCCACCCGTGGGTTTGGCAAACTCTTTCTTCTTCCGGACTTATTTATACTCGGTGACTTTTCCGACTGCGCATTTACATACATAGGAGGGACCGCCGGACTGACAATGCTATCAAGGTAGATCAAGGTAGACCTGTTTGGATCTCAATCATGTCAGAACCGAATCTTGGCCCGGCCCTAGAGAAGGGGGTTTGGGCCGCGGTTGTCATTGCCGCGGTGATCGTCGTGTTGCGCGTTTTCGGTAAAGTCAAGATCAATCGAGTTCGTATCGATGATGGCCTGATGATTTTCGCTGAGGTAGATCCCCCTGACGAGTTAATGGATCGCCTTGACTGACTTCAACGGGTGCTAGATTCTGGCAATCGTCTCAACAACGTTGTTGACCCTGTCGGTGAAACACGGGTTCGGCAAGGATCTCGATGACATAGCATCAAATGACAAGCAAAAGGTCTTGAAGATCACTGCAATCCAAGTGCCAATCGTCACCATCAGCACCACCATCGCCCGGTCCGCATTTATTCTCTACATCCTGCCCCTCCTCGGAACCAACAAGTACTACCAGGCCGCGCTGTGGGCTGTTTTGGCGATTCAATTCTCGGGGAATGTTGTGTCGGCCGTGCTGCCACTTAGCATCTGTCGCAACGCGGCCGCTTTATGGAATCCCGAAGTCGCCATTACGACGACCTGCGGTGATTCGCAAGCGGTGATAAAATTCGCCTACTACTCCAATACCTTCAACTCGGCCACCGATCTGTTTTTGGCCGTCTTCCCCACCGTGGTATTCTGGAACTTGAACTTGAAAGTCAGCATCAAGATTGGTTTGATCAGCCTGCTGAGCTTGGGTATCGTGTGAGTCCCTCCACTTCAAAATGGATAGCCCTAACATACGCTAAAATCCAGTGCTACAGTGCAATGATCGCATCCATCATCAAAACAACCAAACTAGAGTCCGTCCCCAGCATCACGAATACCGGAGCCGGCGGCGGTATCGAACTGATCCGCTGGGGATACATCGAAAACATCATTATCATCATCACCTCCTCAATCCCCTGCATCCGCCCCTTGATCATCTCCTCCGTGCGGAAGATCTCCAGCGGCAAATACTCCCATTCCTATGAACTCAGCATGCCCTTTGGGCGCAAATCGGGTGGTGTCCCCAATGAAACGAACCACTCACGCCGCATGCGCAGGTTCAAGTCGGATGTCGAGAATAATAGCGTCGATCGCATTCTGGATCATAACCAGAGTGTGCATACTAGCACCTCGATAGGCGGGCCACCAGATTCTCCTACTTTCTCGACTCCCGGGATCACAAAGCAGGTGGACATTTCGGTGATTTCAGATACTCGGAAGCCTGCGAAAGAGCATGTGAGGGATCTGTCATTAGGGGGTTAATTTATCTTTAGGTTGTTCTAGAACCAACCCTTTAATTTGATCACCACGTGGTCACAACGATGTAAAAACCCAAAAAAAAAAAAAAGGAAGAGAACGTTTTAATCGAACCCTTGGCACTTGGAGAGTTTGCTAAGCCTACTTGTAGGTAAAACTGGCCCCACACTAAACCATGCTCTCGACCTAAAAGGGAAATACGTCCACTCGACGGATATGCCATACTCCGTAGACCCGAAGCAGACTTTCGGTTTTTCTTGCCCAACATGGTCGCGCGTACTCCGTACAAACAGTGGCCCATCTCGCTCCATTTGACTTCTGTCATTGGATCCAAATTCTGACTCGGAATGCTTGGTCAGCCACCTACTCCGTAGATTGAATTTCTTTCCTCGGACAAATCCCTACTGGCGAGTGGTAGTATCGAGAGCCATTTTCCTATGGTCGTCACATCGTGATAGTCTCGCTCTCTGAGAAAAAAAAACAAAAATCCAAAACTTGAAAAACGCCGCCGGGGCCACAGAGTCAAAAACGTCAGTGGGCTGTAGAATGTTCCACGCGGACACAAATGGCCAGTTGGAGCCAAGACGATGAAGGTGGAATTGAAGAAGATGAAGAGAGAGCCCCCATGAAGACAGGCTTAGAGAGGATGGTTTGGTAGTGGGAGTGGAAGGGTAGGACGAAGAGAACGGAAGAGAAAGCAGACAGAACACAGGATCGATGGGTTTAATGGCCTCTCAGATTACTTCCAGTGTACCCTGAACTTGGGGTTCAAATCCTTGCTATAATGCATTAAAGAGCGAGATATACACAAGACAAATAAACAATGTGAGTATCCTACCATTCCAGTTTGCCATTCCAGTTTGCCATCATTCACACGACAAACAACCACCTCACCCCTAAAAGTGAAGGCATGCTCGCCGTGTTCTTCTCATCCAAATTTCTCTCTCTAGACTCCATGCGCTCCATGCAAAGTCCCCCAAACCCAGATGATGATGATGATGATGATGATGATG